AAGAAAATAGAGCGTAAGTACTTACGTTCACTCTGGTTCTGGCGGCGGCGACCGGGGACGCTCCGACATCAGGGACGATACGGCATCAAGAGCAGTCCGAGAGCAGCTATCACCAAACGTAGACATGAATGAAGCGTTGGTATGATCTAAACTCTAAAGAATTATAAAAGACTGCATTGTTGTCGGTCAGCAAACGTTGAAGAACGTTTATATGACTTAGTTCACTGCTGTGGGATGACCTATTCATTCTGGAACAAGGAAGATGTACAGACCACCTGACAAGATGACCAATGGATTCTCGGCTAACACATTTAAAAGGTCAATTTAAATGAGATGGAAAGTTAGATATACTGCTGCTATATATGAGAGAAATTAAAGTTCACTGAAATAAAAGCGAGAAATTCAATTTTTAATCTATCCCGCCTCACTTCTGTTGAACGAAGCATCGTGATTCTCTTATGAAAAAAATTCAGGTTTAGGTAATTTCCTGACTCCGAGAATCCGAAGGAATAGGCATCGTGGAAGCGCGCTTGCCTGTACATTTCCAGCCCCATAAGTTTTAAAAAAACACACAATTAAACTTTTCAAAACTTTTCAAAAACTCAATAAACACACAGAGAAATCAATGAGACTGTGTTCACGTACCGATAAACTTTTAGCCCTCGCTTAGGTCATCCTGACAAAGGCTCGAAACAGCAAAAGGGCGTTTCAGTGCTACGTCTAGTCTCTGCTTGAGCATTAAATAAAAATGTGTGTTGGCAATATTACCCGTTCATTTTTCTGCGTGTATTATTGGCCAGTCACACGTACGTAACCGTCTAATTATGTGTCAATGTTAAAACAACAAGTCAGGCTGTTAGTCAAACGTCACGTGGGCGCTCGCTCGCAGTGTGCTCTTAAACTTAGTTCGTCTGCTCATTAATTAGAATTTTGCGTCCGAACTTTGACCAGACTAATTGCTTTTGCGTTGCGTAAGACGCGCGTCTTAATTAATGTAAACAACGCGGCTTTTGCAAAAGAATTCAAGGAGTGAGAGTTTCTTCTCGATGAAATTTATGCTCGGCGCTACAGCGTAGTGTGGGAAAATGTTTAGAATTTAGCAATTTATTACTTAGCGTTAAAAATTAAGCATAAACTTATTAGCTTAGACTTGTAATTTCGTTTTAATATTTGAGAAACAAATTCAATTTGTTGTGACTCATATATCATGAAATTTCTTTTAAAAGTCACAGGAATTTATTCCCGTGAAGAGATTCAGGTGCAGGAAATAGCTTCACAAGGAAATAGTTTAAAATATTTGCTCCCTCAAAGAAATTCTGAAATTCATTTAGTGAATTTTTTTCTTGCAATTCTGAATGGTTGAAGAAATATTAATCTAGTTGGAGATCGTAAAGGAAGCCAAATAAAAGAAGTACATGAACATCGACGTCAGCAACCGTTGCCACAGGTTTGTGTTTCCTTGGTAGCTTGACGACCATGTCTGTAAGAAATGGATATTTTCTTGTTAATCTCCATATATAAACAAGGAAATACCTGGTGAATAAACTCGCGGGAGAGATTGCAAAAATAAGTACAAAAAAGGCCAACTGAGATGCAAAATTCTACAGAAATGCGCGTCCGGACGCAGCATAAAAATATGCTAAAATAGTGAAAAATGGTGTAATTTGATGCTTTGAATGAGGGCTATCAATTTTAATTGTTTCAGTAAAATAAAAAACTTTAATATCAATTGTCACAATTTAAATAAAATCAATTGAATAATATAACTTGAAAAACTTAGAAGCGAGGCAGTTTGATAAATTGGATGCAGTTGAAAAATTAGGTAATGACAGCTTCAAGTCTCGCAAGTAAGTTTGCTCTTCGGATAAGTTTTTAAATAACTCAAGTTTTTTAAATAACTTCGAGTTTTTAAATAACTCAAGCAATTTATGGAGTGAAATATTTTGAAATCTTAATTTGTACGGTAATTTTTCCCCTCCAAAACTATCCACATGACATAAATATGTTGCTCCGAAATGTGCGATTCGTATTCATCGCAGGCGAGATGTGTTTACATTAGAGATAACGCCGTGAAATTAGGAGCTCAAACATTGTGATTCAATTGAGATTTTGTCAACTTTTAACCGTTAAATAGAAGTAGAGAGCGAAAATATGTAAAATTGACTGTGAGGGTCAATATAGCAGCTCGTCGGATATTCTCCCGGTCTGAGTGAAATTTTTATGGGGAAAAAGATAATGAATTTGAAAATAACGGATTATTTAATAAATCATCCTGATATATATTTATGATTTAACTCTCTGACCATTGAATTTAAACTTGAAGACTAATGAAGATTTTACACATATAACGTTCTCATAAAATCATAAAATGATCCGGAATCCAACCCAAAAGTTTTTACGAAGTGCACGAAATTTTGATCCAAATCTTTAGAACCAAAATAATGAGAGACTTTAGATAAAAGTTTGCAAAGACGTTATTTTACAATAAAATTCGGCTTCCTTTCGTTTTCTCGAAGTTATCTAAAAGTTCATCATGGATTTTTTTCTGAACGAAACTCCCTAAGTTCCCTGGGCTCGCAGTTACCAAGACTATATAGAATATATTTAATGTTATACATAGACGTTACCGCGGCCAAAATATATTTAACGCACACGCACGACTGCCGGTATTGGCAGTCGATAAACGGCCGCCATTAAATTAAATGCAACTTGCCGGAATTTGAGAGAATTGGTCGATTGTTATGGCATGGAAATTGCCAGGCTCGATTTAACGCGCCTGAAATACTGGACTTTAAACTAGGCTCACGTTAAGATCAACAATTTAATGGCCTGCATAAATTAGAGGTTTGCACGAAACTACCAAATTGATGCTAATTGGCACAGTTAAAGATAATTTGTTTTTGTATACTTCAAGATTATAACAGGAGCAAAGCATTATAAAATTCAGGCAAAGGCAAGAGTTTAAGATTTAAATTCATTCATGTCATCACGTCAACAAATAATTCTATCATTCCAGCAGTCCAATTATCAGTCTTAATGATTAAAGAGTGAGAGATTTCCTGTTGTTATTAAATAGCTAAATGTGGCCCAAAGTATTCTTGAGGCACCTTAATTGGCATTTAAATTAAACAAGCGAGTAAATAAGTGTTGAGCTAGTATTCACAATGTTTATTGCTTTAGTTATAAGAATAAATATAAATGTATATAGTATAAATAAATGTTAAGCAAGTATTTACAGTGTTAATTGCTCTACTTATGTGAATAAATATAAATATATGTATATAGTTTAAATAAATTTTGAGCCAGTATTTACAGCGTTTTATTACTTTAGTTATAAGAAGTACGCATGAGCCACGTATTCAACTTCTGAGGGAATATTATACGGTATGAACATTGTTCCATTGCTCTGACAATATCAAAGGGTGAAATTCAGTTAGAATTAATAAAAGATAGAATTGATTGCAGTCATGGAGTATCAATAAAGATAACGTAATTAAACATCACAGTCAACGTACCGGTGGAACATATAGCACATATTTATTGCGATAACGCATAAATTCTTTTATGCTAAACTTGGACTTCTGAGCGCAATTTAATCTTTAGAGCAATAGTTATCACAAATATCAGATCTCACAACTAAAATCGTTCACATTCTCAGAAGCGAATTGCATCCTAATGAACGGGTTTCAGTTCAGCCATTGGGAGAAAATTTCCTTTCTCTAATATCGGAAAGCCACAAAAAGTAATACGGATGTTTAAGTAGACGTAAAATATATACGTCAGAACTTCCTACCTTCAAGTGTTGTACGTGCATCAATCAACGTATTCGTTTCTTGAAGACCCGCCGAATTTTCATTGTAATTACAAGGGCGAGTTTCGGCTGGTGGAAATAACACAGGAAAATGCATCATCACTTCAACAGGTGCGCGGGAAACAAGCGAAAGTCTTTTGGCTCTCCCTCAAGACAAACGATCCTCGTGACCTGAATTAATTTCGCCTGCCGCAAAAGAGGTAATTGCAAGAGGCGCCTCGAGTCGCTGCTCTATAAACATAAGACTTTGCCGCGAGTTTGTCCTCAGAAGAAGAAAAAGAAACTGTCATTTGCTGGCGCTTTTGTCGCTTTGAGATTACCTTGGCTGACATTAAAACTTGAGGCCTGACACAAAATTGTCTGATGAATCTTATATGGTTCGTAGTTGTGGTTGAGAAGATGTCACTTGCAACGTTAAATGAGGTTATTATTCCTGTCCAACGCTGTTAAACAATTCATTATCGCCGAATAAAGACGCTCAATCATGGCGGTGTAATATTCATGTCCCGTTAAGTATAAGAAATGGCTCATCTCAACACATTATTTAGAGCACTATTCTGGAATAATATTTCGGTGGAGTTGAGTTTAATAGATACTTGTAACAAGAATCACAAACGTGTGACAGAGTAGTCTTGTGTTATAAGTGTACAAACAACTATAACGACAGTTATCTAAATAGTAAAAAATTCATAATTTAAACCTAATACAATGCCCTGAATATGGGAACGCAATTAATTGTTACATATGTGCCAGTTTTTACGCTTACTAACAACGATTCTCACAAAGAAGCTAAAATCTGAGCCTACACGAGGGCCACGTGCACACAAAGTTCCTACTTTAAGAAGGCCAATATTGTGTGGCCAAAACCTTCTTATGGAAGCTTCCGTTAGGCTTGCTCGGCTAATGCTCACAAAGCCCAAGTTTTACGATGTCTTCAGAGTTTATTCGGTGCGTATCTTGTTAAAGTTTGCCTCATACGCTCCTCCCAAGGTGGTTGTTTCTCATCTTTTGGCGCCAAGTCACGCAAGTTGGCCATAGATGTCATAAATTCGGCCGCTTCTGATAATCTCGGTCGCATTGGGGCTCCAGGGCTGACGTCCGGGTTGCGGATCACTTAATTCCGACTTTTAGGGAGCAGAAATGGAGGCTTTGCTTGGGGTTGCAAGAAATTTGGGAGCATCTGAGGAAC